ATGAGGTAGAATGGATGCTTGAAAAAAACTAAATTCAGTTAAAGTTCATTTATTTTGTACACACCTGAAGCTGTGGTGAGTCACTCAGCAAATACCAACGAAGCCTGCAGGGAGCGCCAGGTGCCGACCTCAGCACAACAGCGAACACAGCAGCATCCTCAGAGTCTGTAGGTGTGTGTGGGGGAGACTGGCCTTCGCTGCTGGGAAGCAGAGGGGCAGGGCACTAGGGTGGGTCTTGGACTGGCAGGGGTGACTGAGCCCAGAGAATACTGGCCCCTCCCCACATTCATCCAGGGGGAGGGTTCGGGAGTGGGGGGCGGGGGGAGCAGTGATCCTGTGGATGGTTTTTCTGGATCCGAGTGCTTATGGGCTGAACTCCTCTGCTGGACAAAATGTTTTCCGAAACTTTCTCTGATGTCAGTCTGAGAGAGGGGCCAGAACCCTGAAGGATGAGAATCAATGACTCGTCAGACACCCTGGGCACAGAAGGGCCATATCAGCATCTGCAACCACCCCTCCCCAAGTACACATATCAGATCTTCACGTATCGGTCCAAAGGCCTAGGAGACAGGCATCTGGAGCTCTCGGGGTTTCACCTGCAGAGACGAGGCCCAGGAAGCACCGCCGCAGCCATCCTGTGTGGCCCCCTGAAAATGCAAGCACCCCAGATGCACAGAGAGGAAGGCGGGCCAAGAAAAATCCCAGGGACCCACCCCTCCCCGACCGTCTCTAACCCCTATGTTTTGCATTTTACAGTTTAGAAAACCACTTTTGCACTTGATTCTTATGGAAGCCCTGGAAGGTAAGTAGGGATACTCTGTGTGGCCATTTTACAGATGAGGAAACTGAGGCGCAGCAGAGACAAAAGCTTGCCAAGGGCACCCAGCCAGCTGATGACAGACCTGGAACTAGAACCCAAAGCAGAGGTCTCCCTAGTCCAGTGATGGCGAACCTATGACACGCGAACTCATTTTTTTGGTTGATTTTTCTTTGTTAAATGGCATTTAAATATATAAATATATAAAATAAATATCAAAAATATAAGTCTTTGTTTTACTATGGTTGCAAATATCAAAAAAATTCTATATGT